ACTGTGAGAAATAAATTTCTGTTGTTGATAAGCTCCAGCCTCTGGTGTTTTGTTATAACGACCTGAACTTACTGAGATAAGGTAGGGGTGGAGAAGCAGGGAGGGGGTGAGGTGTTGGGTAGGGCAGGAGGATGTGACTGGTCCAGGGGACCAGACAGCAGCCCTGGGGCAGTGACATCCCCAGGAAAGACAGGAAAGATTTCTATCCTCCCACCCCGGCACTGGCACATCCTTCCCAAGGCTGCGGGAAAGATGCAGGTGGCGCAGAGCGGGCGGGTCACGGTGGGGGCACAGTCTGGGCCTTCCATCCGGGGAAGCTGCGCCCTGGGAAGGCCGTCGATGGATTCACTCTGAACAACGAATTGCAGAGACAAGGGTTGAGATTACCCTCCCGCATTAAGGCCCCTTGCAGGGAGAACCCCAGTGGCTAGACTGCCGAAGTCACCGTCACCGGGTGCAGGAGGCCCCAGCAGAACACAGGGCTCTGCTCTCACACAAGGGACTTAGACACAACCCAACAATTCTTTCATACAGAGAGACCTGGAGTTAACGAGGATTAACTCGCTGGGTGTTCGAGTTTAGTTATCTGACTGTGTTTTATGTTATAGTTGCTACTTCACAGTTATTTTAGAGATCGGAGTCGTTACAACCTAGAATTACCCTATAAGGTCGAGTGAGTCCTGTTGAACTCCTTTGCACTTGTTTACCAGGCCAGTTACTCTCAATGAAACTATTAGTTGTCTTTATGAGGCAACAGGTTGAAGAGCCCCGTTGGGAGTCATTAAACATAGACCTTTCTGGACAGGATAGATCCCTACAGAAAACTACAGACCAGATTGGGTCATTGGTTGGGGGGACCAGTGAGGCAGGACCTACCCCAGCCAGAACCTGGTCATTTAAGTGACTTATGCCACAAAGATCTGAAATTAAGGAATTCATCTGGCTCAGCCACGTGAAAAACACAGACGGGCATAGCAGGAAATGGCAAAAATATTAAATGAGAGGATATCCTCACTTAGGTACCCACACCCGGGTAGTGGATAAAGAGAACGCACTGCCATGTTCCTGATCTAGGTCCTCAGATGACTCATGTTTGTGCCTTGGCGACTGGGAGCTATGAAGGCTTCCCCCATGATGCCCTGCACTTGGCCAGGCTGGGGCGAGCAGCTGGGGGGCAGCCCGAAAGGGAGCTACGTTCGTTAATTCTGTAAGCCTGGAAAAGCATAAGGCCAGTACGGAAGGAAGGCTTTGGTAGGCATATAATGCCTCCCCTTTCTTTTTCATAAATGCTCCATATTTCTGACCATTAAAGTAACACATATGTGTAGTAGAGCATCTTGTAAATACAGAAAATAGGAAAAAGAGTAGAAAGCACTTAGAATCCCTAAAATACTAAGGCAAACATTGGAACTGTTTCTTGCTCCTGGGAAGAAGACAGTGCCCCCTCCCCAGTGAGGTCAGTCTCCTGCCTTCTTCTCTCCCTTTCCAGCAACAGTGATCTTTTCTGTCTCTGGCCCTTGGCACATGCTGCGTCCACCCTCTTTAATAGGTTGTTCCCACTTACCCTTTGGCCACCATTAGGAGAAGTCTTCCCTAAGCACCCCCACCTCGTTTATTTGGGTGATTATTTGATGCCCATCTTCACTGTCAGACTGTAGGCTTTCATGAGGGCAGGGTCCATGCCTTCCCCACTACACCCTGGCTTTCTTTACCAAACCGTTGCATCCCCAGCACCTAGCACCGTACTTGTTTCCTTGTTTAACTTCACTAAACCCTCCCCACTTTTAAGGTTGGATTTGAATTCCACAGCTCTTTTACCATGCCTTCATTGATTCTCTCCTTTCTCTCATTTCCTACTAAATTTGTATGATTAGCCCTTCATCATCTGTAATTGGATCATGATCCTAAGTGACACTATAAGTAACTGCAGACCTGCCTGCTTCTTGCCTTCCTCCTTCCTTTCATTCACTAAACAAATATTTCTGTGTACCTGCTGTGTGTGAGGCACTGTTCTAGGGGCTGAGAGCGCAATGTCTCTTCTATCAGGAAGTCAACATTCCGGTAGGGGAAGACAGTCATAACCAGATCAACGAATAAATAAGTTATGCAGTCTCAGGTGTCACAAGTGTTTTAAAGAACCGAAGCGGAGTAATAGGGTAGGTATGAGAACAGGGGCCTGTAAATACTTCCTAGTAATTAGATTAATGGTGGCTACAAAATGTCATCATGCCAGGTGTCAGTGCTTAGGGAAAAATCTAAGTTAATGAATCTCTACCTCATAAATTACTTTTCTCCACCTTTCCATTACAACCTATATCAGAGTCACAAGTTTAAAAGAAGGAAACTTCTTTATAATTCTTAACTTTTTTTGTTCCTAAGAACATAATGTCATAACGTGCAATGCACAAATGTTTTAGACAGTTTTGTTGACATATGTTAATCCACTCAGCAGAGGGAGCTCATGCTTTAATTTTGGGGCATTGGACAGAAAGCAAGGCTCTTGTAAAAAGAACCTGAAATAAACTTTGCAGCTCTCATTTAAAATAAGGTTTCCTTTCAGTACTTGGAGCAAAGATTGTATGATTAAGGATAATTTAATTTTCATTTGTATAAATAGATGGGACTGAGGAGTTCATTTTGGGGCAGATTTTTTTCCAATAAAGTTCAGTTTTGCTTACCAACTAGGCTGAGAACAAGTATCCCAGCGCAGAAGCCTAAGGATTCATCCAGAAAAACGATAACTGTTCATATGTCCACATTTCAATGGCCTTTTTAATTGCACTGTGAGAGGGGCGCCTGGGTGGCTCAGTGGTTGAGCGGCTGCCTCTGGCTCAGGGCGTGGTCCCGGGGTCCTGGGATCAAGTCCCACATCGAGCTCCTTGCAGGGAGCCTGCTTCTCCCTCTGCTTGTGTCTCTGCCTCTCTCTGTGCCTCTCATGAATAAACAAAAATAAAATCTTAAAAAAATTGTACTGTGAACTCAGGGCATAAACTTATTTGACTTGTTTTAACATGACTATGATCTAACATTGAACACTTGCCCTTTGAGATTATAAAATAGATATTTATTTAGACTTCAAAGGATGTTTACTATACATGATCCGAGTTCAAAAGCAAAGTAAATAAAGATTGAGAAAATAAATTCATCTCTCAGATTAAAAGTCAGAACCATGAAGAGATTCTGTAGTATTGAAGTCATAGGTGAATCAGTAACACTAACAGATGTGTGTGTGTGTGTGTGTGTGTAAACTACAATTTTCAGTGATCCAAAAGACTGTAATAATTACAGAAAATGGCATATTAGGTACAGATTTCCTTAGTATCACCCATGCTCTTACTGCACATACCTATTTAGTACATTTCTATAAGATAGAAAGCAAAAATTTTTTAAAAACTTTATTTTTTTCTCATTGTCTAAGTCAAATGGATTTGCTAATAGAAAATACAGAAGTATTAATAAAAGGATAAGTACACAAAGTATTTATTTTACTTAGTGCTTATAACTTTATATCTAGCTTTACAGTTAGTGTATACAGCATTTGAAATAGTTTTTTTTTTAATCTTTTCCTTCCTTAGAAATCCCCAAATACTCCTTAATTAAAATTAAAAATTGCTATAACTGGGTTAATGCAAAGACAGTACAATTTGGAAAGCATCCCTTAGATTGTGGGGAGAGAATCCTCTGATGATAAAGGAAAATACAAAGGTCAAGTACCCCACTTAATATATCACTCTATAGTTATCTTTAAAATATCTATCTTTCCCATAATACTAGTAGTTCCTATGGAAGAAATCATATCTTTCTCAGTAGGCTTGATTTATTGGCATATAGCCTGGTGCCTGGCACAGGGTAAATGCTTAGCAACTATGACATTAATAAACAAATGAGTGTTTAAAAATGATTTTTTTCCACCTGTACTCTGCACAGAGTAATACTGATCTAGAGAATTGCGTCCTAAGTTGTGAAAAAAAAAATACATGCTTCTCCTTGTTGGATACTTTTGGGACAGGCACTGAAATTGGTTCTGCTGAGTAGGAGGAGGGACACTGAAGAAACACCTGGTGACCAGGAGGCCTGCGAAGATGCTGTGGGCAATGTGACAGACAGCGTGGTAGCTGATCGCATCTGCTGCTGGAGGGAAAACCAGGGTAAGGACTCATGAATAACGGAGGTGGTTAGAGACAGCTGACAGAGTTTCTAGATAAATCAACAGACATTTGTGGAGCTCCAGCTATGAGCAGAAAATGGATTCTCAAGAGAGGATGTGCAATCTTTACTAGAATTTTCTGAATCTAGGAGATCCTCTTTTCAAAAGATCAGATGTGGTTCAGCATTACAGGACCAGATATGGTTTCCTCCGTCTGCATGATCCTGTGATTTGGTTAATGTCAGAGAGCCTTAGCTTTCTTTAGCAGTACCAACTGCAAGATAAGGACTTTGTTATAATCAACAGAATGTACCTTCTTTTACATTAGTCACTGTAAGGAATCCCAAAATCCTTGGAAGAGAGATAATAATTGGATGGGAAACTTTAAATTTCACATCAGGCCCTAAAAAGGTAGAATTATTATGAATGGAAAAGAAGCCAACTAGATTTTGTGTTGTAAATGACACTATAACCTAGAAGTGATTAATACAGGTTTAATAAGCAAAGTGATATAAAATTATGACAAATAAGCCTTTCTTTCCTCCCCAAACTTCCCCATATTTGAGTGGAATTTGACCTAAGGAGTAAACCCATCTGTAGGTTTCTTCACTCCAGAACCTGAGAGAAACATCTGTTTAACTATTTACTGATACTTTGAAGAATAGAAATTGTAACCTCAGAAAAAATCCAATTGCATTCTTGAGTAGGAACGAGAGGCCAATTGCTCCTGAAGAGCCAGAGATATTAGTTATATAACAAGCTGGCTCATCAGGTATGTATTGTACTTTGTGACCAGATGCTACAACTCACATCTTCTTTCACTAACTTTGGTTTTCAACATAGGAAGTAGGAACTATGGCTTCTTTGTTGCCCACCAAGAAAGGTGTTCCCCATCACACGAAGAGCTTTGGGGGTACTTCATTAGTGTTTCTATAGTGATCTGGGCAGTCTTCTCCCCATGGACAGTCAGAAATTTCTTTTTGAGATCTTCTGCCCTCCATTACAATAGGTAAGTGCAGACTTTTATTTTTTTATTAATTTATTTATTCATGAGAGCGCGAGAGAGAGAGCGCGAGAGAGAGGCAGAGACACAGGCAGAGGGAGAAGCAGGCTCCACGCAGGGAGCCTGATGTGGGACTCGATCCCGGGACTCCAGGATCACGCCCTGGGCCTAAGGCAGGGCTAAACTGCTGAGCCACTCGGGCTGCCCTAAGGGCAGACTTAATGCTGATCTCAAAGACAGACACAGACTTCATTATAGCTCACAAACCAAACAAGAATGAACAGAACCTACCATGGATAACAAAAGGAAGACAGATACTTATAGAACAGTAGCCTAATCAATGCATAATTAAATTCATTGCTTTGCATATTTTTCCATCTCTTGTAGCTTAAAAAAGAACTAAATGAATTTTAATTAAATCTTAACTTATAAACAATCAAGAATCTTATGTGCCAGAGATGAGATTTCTAATGTCAACTTCTCAACCGAAGAAATAATTGTTGGCTAAGTTACAGATGATGATGGAACATTAACAATGAACTATATGTGCACTGGAGTGTGTATGCTGTTTTATCAGGCAAGCTTGAAGCATGGAAAAGCCCAGCATGCCAGTAAACAGAGACCGGGTTCTAAGTCCAGCCTGGTTGCTAACTAGCCGGGTGAATTTAGGAAAACCCCAGAATTGGCTTTGCTTTATGTACACTTAGAGATTTGACTAGAAGCTCTTTTGGCTTTCAAAGTCTGTTTGTTGAACAGCAGAAGTATGCCAAAAGCATAGAATGTTAGACTTTTTAAAGCCAATGAGGAAAGTTTCTGGTTTCCAATGCAAAATTGAGGGGTTTCACAGCTATAGGTGAAAATTGAGACCTTCTTCAATTAACACAAGTAGTTAATGGACAGAATTTCTTTAAGGTTTTCCTCCCAACCATTTCTCTAAAGCCATGGTACCACAAGTGATAGCTGATAGTAAGATGGAATAAACAATTAGAAAATAACTATTTATGAGGATAATTTGCAAATAGTTGACCATGTTTAATTGCATGACTTTTTTCTTTTCTTCCCCTCTCTCTCTTCTTTTCTTTTTAATGGGCTTCTGTGCTCACTGGTTTGATCCAGCACAGGGATCATATAATACATATTTTCTAGGTCTAAAACTTTCTATTCCACCCAGTCTAACTAAATTTGCCACTATTTTATGGTGCTCAGCAAAGAATATGGTATTCAATGAAAAGCCCCTGACTTCCCATTGCTCCTTTACATGAGTGTTAGAACCACTGGTCTAGTTTTATAGAAGAAAGTAATAGTGAGGCCCAAAGATGGGAAGTGACCTGGTCAAGGTGACACAGATGGTTAATGTGACCAGAACCATGAACCCAAGGGCATCAGGCTCCCTGCCCAGTCTTTGAAATTGAAATGGTTCCATGCATCTGGAAGAAGCATGGCTTAAACCATTTCTGCTGGTTAATAATTAACAAGGGAATCATTTCTCAAGGGAACTGAATTGTTTAATTTTTAAAAAATTAAATTTGATAATATCCTTACAAAAATATTTTATATAAAACTATTTTGTTCATTGTGGGAGCCATCAATAGGGCAGATCTTTTGGTGAGATTTCCATGTTTTCATAAGTCATTTCACACCCAATAATTTCAACGAAAATCATGGTACAAGCTGTTTGACTAAAGGGATGGAAATGGGAATAATAATTAAAGGTGGACTGGCTAAATGAGTTCTTTATCATGAGGATTCTATAATTGTTGCCTTCAATTATGTGTTCTGTTGGAAATGATGACAGAGACGGAAGTCCTTGGGAATGTATTAAAAGCTCTGGGTTAATGAAATAATTCATATACTCCTCTCAACAGGTCAGGGCAGTGGTTCTTAGAGTCCAAGGATCCCTGAGAGTCCCTGAAACCCTTTCAGGGGTCTCAAGGTCAAAACTATTTTGTAATCAAAATGTTCTCATTCTCTCATGAGTGTACAGTGGAGCTTCCCAAAGGTTGACCTTGTGTGGTATCATGACTGGCTAAATATAAGCACAGATATGTAAATCCAGCTGTCTTCTTTTAAGCCAGCATTAAAGAGATATGCAAAAAATTGTGAAACAATGCCACTCTTCTCAATGATTTTTTTTTGGAAAAATATAGTTGTTCTTCATGAATAGCATGTTATATATGCTAATGCACAATGAGTTTCAAATAAATAGATGTTTAAAGTATCTCCCAGTTAAAAAAAAATAAAATAAAATATCTCCCAGTTTTAATTACAAATATTACAAATGTCAATAGATATAACCCACAAAAACAAAAGCTCTTTGGGGTCTTCAATAATTTTTAAAGGTATAGGTGGCCATGATCAAAAACTTGAGAGTCACTGTGCCAAGCAATGGTGACACAAAGGTGAGCACCACCCTTCCCTCCCAGAGCTCACTCAAGCTTACAACCTTGTGAGTAAATAGGCAGTTGGGCAGAAAATACCCTATGGGAAAAGGTAGAGTTCTAAGGGGCACAATGGGCCTCCCTCATAACACACTTCTTTCTGCTTTTGTGACAGTTGATGGTGCCACCTCTGCCACTGTTTTCTGGACTCATCCTATTTGATCTCTCAACAGTACTTGTTGCGTTTGACCACTCTCTCCTCAAAACATCCTTTTCTAATGCCTCTGGAATTCCTGCCTTCTAATTTGTATGCCCTCTTTGGCTTCTCCTTCTCCCTCTTGAGTCCACTCATCCTTGCAGCTATTCATTAACTGTTGGAAACCCCTAAGGACTTAGATCCAGGGCCTCTCCTCCGCCATGTGCTTACCATTCCCCTGGCTTTGAGCCCAAAAGGCCAAATGGAAATGTAAATAATCCCAACCTCTCCTCCAAGTTTCCAACTTCCTACTTGGCATTTCTCTTTGGACTTTCTAAAAAGGATGTGAAAATACAAATTCTGATCTGTCCCCTCAAAGGAGCTTCTGCTCCATATCCCTAACTTAGCATCTCATTGTGCAGACCGAAAGCCTAGGAATCACTCCTGACCCTTTCCGCTCCTCTCTTACCCACTTATATCCAACCCATCCACCAATATCCCTCTTGATTTTCCCTTTTAACCATATTTCCCAATTGTCCTCTCTCTCCATTTTCACCACCAGCACCCTGATCTGAGATACCGCTGTCCCTCTCCTGGGCTATGGTGATACCCACTTGTCACCCTACATTTACTTATAATCCAATTTTCTCCATACAATAGCCAGAGTGATCTTTCAAAACTGTAAATATCCTTTATCAAAATCCTGTGAAGGCTCCCCATTACATGTACAAAAACTTCATAGTCTTTAGGCCTGTATTATAGACCTGTCAGGATCAGGCCTCCTCTTCCCTTCCCAGCTTTAACCTATACGGTAGGGGTGAGGTTAGACCTTCCAACATGCCATGCCCTAGTCATTTGGAATTTCTGGGTTTCCCTGAAAGTTACAAGTTCTTCAAAGCCACAAGCCAACCTGCGTGATTTTTACTTTATCTAGTGTTATTCTGTATGTTGGCAAATTGAACACCAATAAAAAATAAATTTATTATTAAAAAAATAGAATTCCCTTTCTATGCCCATTCTACCTTCCCACCTCCTGATGACTTCTATTTACAATTCAAGCTTTAGCTCAAGTTTGGCTCATTGGAGAAGTCTCTCTCTTCTCTTCCTGTCCCACCTCTTGCTCTCTGCTCACTCCCGACTCTGATTCTTAGGTCATATGAACCTTCTACATGCTCTATTGAGAATTGTTACTGGCACATCTGTCTGACTCCATTTGACTGTGAGCTCCTGAGGGACAGGGAATGTGTCATTTCTGTATCCCAGGTGCCTAGCTCAGTGTTGACATTTGGGAGGTTCTCAACAGAAGTTTGTGAAACAATTACATGTAGGTTCATGGAAGCCTGGAGGAACAAGTAAAAAAAATAAAAGAGGGGCACTTGGCTGGCTCAGTGGGTAGAGCATGTGACTCTTGATCTTGGGGTCATGAGTTTGAGCCCCATGTTTACGTGTAGATTACTTAAAAATAAAATCCTTTTTTTTTAAATAAAATCTTTAAAAAAAATAAAAAGAGGCAGTTAGATGCTTTAAAAACTCTGCCAAACTCTCAGATCCCTCTCAGAGAGATCTGGAGGTGGAAACTACCCTCATCTGCCGATGGTTTGTACCCTGGATTTTTCTGGGATTTTTAATAAAGATGCTTGTGTACGAGAATGGACTGTGACTTTCCTGCTTTGATCACAGAGGGAGAATTTTACTAGGTGAGAGGGCAGGGACAAGGAGGGTCCACCCAGGGATAAGTCCTGGGAGAAAAAAATGCCTTTCACACATTCCTGACTGTGATAGTAGTGCAAAGGTGACCATGGGGACAAACTGATATTAAGCCAATGAACATTTTGAGTAAGTACAATTTGTTATGACAGATATTAAATCCCTTTTTTTTATTAATTTTTTTTTATTTACTTATGATAGTCACAGAGAGAGAGAGAGAGAGAGAGAGAGGCAGAGACACAGGCAGAGGGAGAAGCAGGCTCCATGCACCGGGAGCCCGACGTGGGATTCGATCCCGGGTCTCCAGGATCGCGCCCTGGGCCAAAGGCAGGCGCCAAACCGCTGCGCCACCCAGGGATCCCTTAAATCCCTTTTTTATCCTGGCTTTATTTTTAATGGATGAAAACCAAAGAAACAAATTATAAGGATGAGTGTGTTTTGCCTTGAAGATGTTTCACATTTTCCTTTTGACATTCAGGTTAAGATACCTGAGTAAAAAAATGCTGGAAAGTATCAACTGAGGATGAGCTGATGGGACTGTTTATTCCCTCACTGTTGGCATAAAAAGAGAAATAAATCAGGAGAAAAAGAACATACCATTAGTTCAGGTAGAAATATATGTTCCTGGGTTGGGTCCAAAGGCTGAAATTCTTCTTTTTCATACAATTCGGTACAAGTCTTAAGAAAAACTAATGTTTTAGTTTTTTAGTAAAAACAAGTCAAAG